AGGAACCTCTAATCGAATTAACTATCATCAACCGACTAAACGCGGTTAGAAGACAAAGGGCCTTGCGGGGTACCGATTTTAATCGAAAGAAGGCGAAAATTAGCGAATTAGAAGAATAACATGTATATTTAAGTTAAATTGAATAAAAAAAATACTCAATTGTATTAATTTGATTAAAAATTTTCTGTAATCAAATGTTTAACAAATATTTTTGAGTTGGATTAACACGTGTTTAGGAGTTATTTAAACTGATGTATTACATTGAAATTAACATAATTTTCTCGTAACATTAACTATATTATTATTTTACAATGTAGATAACCATTATCATTTAACATTATTATTTGTGTAGGACCTATAACACATTAATGTTTGTTAAATCTTTTGAAATTTTAGGCTTTTATTGATTATAATTTTTGTATTAAGTAACATATATCATTTTTGTTATAAACACTAGGAAGTTTATGTAAACTTTTACATTTTTTATTTAACACAAATTTTATAAATTTTTAACTATAGCATTTATTAAAGTGAATCATAAGCGATACACGAGCTCCTGCATACAAAAAAAACTGAAAAATTCAATATAGTAGAATAGAGGACTAATTCACCTTAAAATTTATGCATTTTCACAAGCCACTTTGTAGCTGTTTTCAGAGACTGGCTGCATGCAGAACCGAACCGCTTCAATGGCAACTGAGTAAAAAGGATCTTAACACTCTCGTTTTTAGTTCAAAGGACATTTTTAACGTGATCTACTTGTAAAAAAAAGTAAAAAAGATTTTAAGTTTGCTTTTTATAAAATTATGTCTACCTACACTCACAGGCAAAATAATCGATCCATACAAATTTTCGATGAATTTCAATCGCAAATAACTTTTTTATTTGATGTCGGATTTAAACGAAAATTAAAGAATATTGTAGATAAATTAAAGGACAATCGCTAACATTTTAAAAAATTACTAAAAAATAGACGTACGTTTATAATATACAGGTTTAAACAAAGATGTTTTTACCATAAGTTTAAGACACTCTGTAGAGTGGCAAAACCGTATATTGTTCTAAATTAAGTTTAATTTATCAAGTCACATCTATTCTTAATAGTTTTGTTTTTGGTTCACCTCGATATATTTATTTTTGTGGAAAATATGGATTTTTTAAAAAAACATTGCAATTTCCAATATTTTTCTGTATGAAGAACTAAGGTTGCTATGGTCCATCCATAGGCTATGGAGAATGACAGTGACAGTTTTGTTGAATCATCCCATACTTTGACATGTCATACACGGCTTTCAAAAACTATCAAATTGTTTTTTGCAAATTAATGTTTAAATTTTGAGGTGTCTTGTTACTTTAAAAAATGGATATGTCTCCGACTGATGTTGCCAGAGCCATTAATTTAATCCAGGATGGACGGTCACAGTATTACGTGGCAAGTGTTTTAAACGTCACAAGAAGTAAAGTACAAAGGGCAACATCAGTCGGAGACATTTTTAAAAGTGAGAAGACACCTCAAAATTAACACATTAATTTACAAAAAACAATTTGATAGCTTTTGAAAGCATGTCCAAGTATGGGATGATTCAACAAAACTGTCACTGTCATACTCCATAGGCTATGGACCATAGCAACCTTATTTCTTTATACAGGAAAAATATTGGAAATTGCAATGTTTTTTTTTTTTTAATTCCATATTTTTCACAAAAAAAAATATATCAAGGTGAACCAAAAACAAAACTGTTAAAAATATATGTGATATATGTTGATAATTAAAACACAATTTAGAACAATATACGGTTTTGCCACCCTACAGAGTGTCTTAAACTTATAGTAAAAAACATCTTTTTGTTTAAACCTGTATATTATAAAGGTACGTGTATTTTTTAGTAATTTTTAAAATGTGAACGATTCTCCATTAATGTATCTACAACATTCTTTAATATTTGTTTAAATCCGAAAACAAATAAAAAAGTTACTTGCGATTGAAATTCTTTGAAAATTTGTGTGGATCGATTATTTTGCCTGTGAGTGTATTAGGGGTGTGCGAATAATTCGAACTTACGAATTATTCGTTCCGAATCGAATATTAATATTCGATTCGGAACTCGAATCGAATAATTTGAAAATTCGAATTATTCGAAAGTTCTCGAATTATTCGAAAAATTTCGAATTTTTTTCGAATAATTCGATTTTTTTCCGAATTATTCGGAAACTATTATAGGTATATTAGCGAATTTTCGAGTATTTTGAATTCAGGGTTTCTTATGTTCAATATTCAAATATGAATTTAACAGTTAATATACATTTTATTTTTTTTATTTTTTTTGTATTATTCTTCTCAGCTGATCACTGAAGACTACCGACTTCCGAAGTAAAATACAGTCTAGAGGGGGAAGAGACCTGAAGATAGGTTCAATTCAAATAAGTTCGAATTCGGGTTTACGTTATCTGTCATTCTTTCGACTGCTTTGTTGCATAATAAATTGCAAATTGTAGAAATATAGTAGAAGAAAATGACCGAGTTAATAATTTTTTTTCATGGATAAAAAACTTGAGGATATGTTTAAAAAACTTGATAAAATACTGAAACATTACATGAGTAACCTTTTTTTAAATTTGTCGCTTAAAAATTTAAGCAGTCTATTCAAAAAGGCATATTCAAACACTTTAGAAAAACTTGAAGGTATTGTCACCGGTCTATAGTTCTCCGCCAGGAGGCTGTTGTTCTTCTTAAAAATCGGAATTACTTTTCCAATTTTTAATAAATCTGGAAATGAACCACTTTTAAAGGATAAGTTAACCAAAAAAGTTAAGGGCTTGACAACAAGAGGAAGCACAGTCATAGGCTTTCACTTGGTTGTTAAATCAATCAAGATCCGATAATTTTTAACAAAGTTATTGGAATTCAAACTTACGGACAGCGGAAGGCAGTTGTTTAATTTTCTCCGAAAACTATATAAACAAAATGAGGTCAAAAGTTACCCAACTTTTGTAGAATCACCCAACTATATTTATCAATGCGTTAATGCATCTGGAAGAGTGTTATTTTATTTATAACGTAAATTTACTTTATAATTAATGCAAATGATATGATAAAATGATATTTTTGCCTTAACAAAAGCAATTGTTGAACGAATTAATTTATTAAAACAAATTACTTTTTTTGTTATATTTATTTAAAAATTTTCTGTTTATTTAAAGGCAAAACTGTTTGTAGTTAGTTCCTAAAAAATCGATGGCGTCAAAATTACCAGAAATTAGTTTTTCTATATTTTAAAACATTTCTTACCAAAATTTGTTTAAGTTCCCAAAAAATACTTTTTTTTTCAAGCGGCCATGATATACAACCTTATATGCCTGTACAGAGATATAATAGTTGAAGTGCGTCTTTTTCATTAGGGCAAACAAAAAACTCAAAAAAGCCTAGGGATAGAAGTAAATCCATATATGGATATAGGTGTCTCAATAGACGTCAAATAATAAAATTAATTTAGCATTGCATACAAAGCAATCACGATGTATTAATTATATTAATTATAATCGCACGGAATATTTAGTGATTATTTATTAAATTTTAATTGAACGAAACAAAGAACAACTAGTTTATTAGTATAATATTATGATGATAGACGAGTCGCCAATGTCGGAACTCCAAACAAATGTCAGTACGTCAAAATTAATTCAAGCCCAGCATTTTGACAGAGCAGTGTTTATTTTTAGTTTAGGATATTTATCGGCATTGTAAGTAAGGGTTATAAGTTTTTTTAGTTTTTAACAATAATTTATAATGCTTTTAGCCAAAATTTTATACCACATAAGTTATGAGTAAATAAAATAATTCTATTGCTTATCCTATTTATATTACGCCCTTGAAAAAAAAATTGTATATGTTATTTGGAGTAGAAGCTCTTTTTGTGGTGAGTACAGAGATTGGCGGCCGAAGCGTAGCTGAGGCAGGCAACTGCACTTCTACTCCTTATGACATAATCTACTATATCCACGCGGTCTATAATTTAAACTTTATTGTTGTCAACATTCGATAAAGAAATAACTTGTTATGGCCTAGGCCGATAAAAAGGCAAGTAATTAGTTCGATTTTTTTTCGCTAGGGGTATTGTTTTGACAAATTAATCCTTTTCTAAGAAATTAACGTACTAAACTGGTTTAATTTATTTATAATTAGCACTAATTTGTTTGTTTTACTGTTAATGTTTATTATTTTTCATTAAATTATTGTAAAATTAAATATGAATAATAAAACAAAAAGTGAGGTTAGGACATTGCAATTTTACGTTTCTGTGGATTTCACAGTTGTGTTTTCTTTTTCTACGTTTTAAATTATCTTTAAGTTTTAATTTGCTTTAAGTTTTCAGTGAAATTAAATGTTAAACACAGCGTAAACATTCCAAACTACCTATTTTTTTAATAAAAATGCAAACAAATTGAAAATAAATAGGTACCTATTTATTAAACAGTTAATTGAATTCAATGTAATAGCAAGAGGGTAAGTAAACCATTTTCTTACAAAAATCCATTTCTACTTAAATCATGTAGCTAGGTATTGTCAAACTATTTCTGCTTCTATCTTTAGCTAATAAATAAATGAGATTCTAAAAAAGTGAGGTTAGGCCACTTAAAGTGGCCCACTTTTATGTTGAATTAAATTGACCTATATAAAGTGCTTTGAAGATAAAATGTTGTATGCCATTCGGCCAAGAAGTGTCTTTTTGTGCTTCGCTCAATTGTAGGCCTCCGCTACGCGTCGGCCTTCAAACTTTGAGCTTAGCACAAAAAGCCTTACTTCTTAACCTAATGACATAAATAACTATTGTTACTGGGTCTACTAAAAAGTTTGTAATATAATGTAATAATTACAAACAAATCATCTTATTATTTGGTTAAAATGTCCAAATATTGTTTTTGTGTACATATTTGTTTTTATCAAATATTAAAATTAATCGCATTGGCGGTAAAAAAGATAAATAAAATAATTAGTAATGGGTCAAGCAAACTTAATTTAGTGTCTGCGATAAATAGACCTGTTCCGCCGAATTGTTATTGATATTGATTTGAAATTCTCTATTCATTACAACCAAATTGTCGTAATATTTCTTTTATTACAAATTTATCAAATTTGACTTTGAAAATTACAAATCAATGTTATCAAAAAATAATCACTGCTTTCAAATGTGAACACCAGTTTTACGAGCATTTTATTTTTGTCAAATGCCCAATTAATATCTACTTGGTATTTGGAATATTATATTACAGTCTAAATAAGTGATTGTTTAACTCTTAAAAATATTGGTGTCTTCTAAGGATTTCTTTAAACAAGGTTAGTAACAAGTTTTTGGTTTTACATAAAAGTTTAAAGATTCGGTAATTTTATCAAAATTCTCGGTATTTATTTTTATGAAATAATAAATTTAAATTTTTAACAAAATATGAACTGTAAATGGATTATTTTTTATTTTTGGTTGTTTCACTGTTAGTCTAGAATGGGGTTTTTGGGAAGCCACCAGGTCTAGTAATAACATAACATAAGTGGTTCTGCACCAATGCAAGAATTTTAAGAAACCATGCATTTTGAATATTAGAGCTTCACGGAAGATATTTTAATTTTTTATTTTTTAAATAAAACAACAGATTTGTACTTGTTTATATTCAATATATATTGAAAACAAATCTTGGTCTTTTAGTTTAACGATTATACATTGCTTTAGAATCTATAGTGGCATCACAACCTAAAAAACACCACTTAATATACAGGATGTTTCATATTCGTGGTCCATTGGAACTTTCAGGGGAACGGAAATAGATATCGATTTGAAATTTTAAATGCTTTTATAATCCATTCCATCCAAGAAGTTTTTTTTAAATATTTAAACAAAATGCCACTTCCGGTTTGACCGGAAGTGGCTTCACCTATGTCGTTTCAAATAGAACACACCATATATTTTTACATATTTTTTCAGAATTTTATGTCAAATCAAAATCTATAGGAATTTTGTCGTACTGTCTTATAACTTATAAATAGACTTAAAAATGTTTAAAAGTATCTTAATTGATAATGACGTCAAAACAAGATTAGCTTTTCGAAATCCCTTGGAAATTGTTGGCAAATGCAATTAAGAATCTAATTTGACAGAACTATTTTTAATTTATAGATAAAACTCTAAACCCTTTAGGTCATAATCAAATTTGCTGATAAAGTAAAAATAGACCATTAAATTTGTTAAATATATATTTTGATAAATATCTAACTGTCAATTGTTTTGTATCCCCAGATGAAGTTATTTAAAAAATAACATTTCCATAAGGAATACAATTTAATAATGGTATAAATTGGTTTAATAATAATAAATTAAAAAATTAATTAGAGGGGCCGTCGTTATTATTTATAGGGACCGTCGTTATCTTTTAAAGGGGCCGTTGTTCTTAGCAAAGGGACTTTAAAAATAATAACAACATAATGATTTGTGATTTACAAAGATAAAACAATTAAATGGAAAGTTATTTATTAAACAAATAAACACCAAAGCAAAGGACTACCTGAGCTTATATACTCTTCATGTAAGTCAACAGAGGCGAGATTTAAGAACATCACGTGATCCGCACCGTCTTTGCCGCGATCGGTACATACTATGCAACCAGGAATGCACGGCAAATCGTTTTAATCGTTTTAACAGCTTTAGGTTGAAGTAACTCTTATTTTACAAACAACATATTTAGTAAACTGAACCATACAGCGAGTTGGTTTCACTTAAGTTTTCTGGGTTAATTTAACCAATTTAAAAAAAATAAAATAACTATCTGGTTTAGTACCGTTAAACTAATCTTTGTTTATATTAACCTTCCCACAGTTGATTTAAATCAATACTTATGGGTCAACTAAATTAATATAGTTAAATTAACTATTCCTTTTTTTGTGTAGGTGCACTTCTCAAATATTTTTAGATAAACACTGTTTTGGTGTTTGCTGTATATAACATTTTCAACCATAATTCATGGTGTTTATATTAACATCACTTGGATTTAGACACCATTTTAAGATTACTTTTTACACCACAGATATTTTTAACACCAATTTTAAAAATAATGATAATATATTAATTATTTTTATACTACTACTACTAAGCAATCATTAGATAGCATTTCGAAACGGATTACTATCATCAATACAACTGTACCACATCATCAATACAACTGTACCACACACGCGAGGTCATATTTATTAATGGTCTTCGCACAGTGGGGCAAAAAATTAGAATATATGTGTCACTAATTCTTAACAGATCAGCAAAATAACAGCTTGTTGTCTTTGAAGTCGGTATTTGGTATGTTGCAGTTGCATCTTTCTTGAAACCAGCTGCTTATTTTGACCAACCCAAAGAGGAGAGGTAAACGGAAACGCACTAACACTTGTATAAAGCGCACAGTGGCCAAAATAATGTTTTCTATTTTTTAGCTTGGTAAAATGACAACTGAAATGGCTGAATCTTCTTTGAAGTCAGTTTTTCGTAAGAATAGCCGAATCTCCGAACGCGTTCTTGTATACTTAACTTGAATCTATAATTTTTTATATTAAATGGCCTATTTTAAATTAACTTTCCAAGCAACAATTTAAGTATTTGTTACGTATATGGGACTATTGAAGAAACTTAAAAGTGTATTGCGACAGTCGCCGGTCTCTTTTTTTTTTGATAGATAGATAGATAGTTTATTAATCCAAAAGACATATTTACATATGTATAGGACAGGTCAGTATATAAATATTACTAAGATTAACAACACAAATACATTATTAAAATCTAAAAATAAATTAACATTTAGAGTGTATACAGTCTGTTCCACACTACAAGAATTTATAAATAAAAATGTTTGTTACAAACAATCTCTAAGATCATAAGGACATTTACTAAATAAAAAACTTTTAAGCTCTCTATTAAATTGGTTATTGTTATTTATTATTTTAATGCTTTGTGGAAGGCTATTATAAATTTTTGTACCAGAATAGTAGGGTGACTTTTCATAAAGTGCTGTAGAATGTCTCGGAACACTTAAAAAGGCACCTCCTCTTGTTGAATACATGTGAAATTCATTATTTATATGAAATTGGGAGTAGTTTGAACGTACATATTTCATAAGGTTATATATGTAGATAGACTGTCAAAATATTATTACTCCTAAATATGTCTCGGCATGTCTCTCTCGAACGCATACCAAAGATTATTCTTAATGATCTTTTTTGTAGAACAAATACTCTATTTAATGATGTTGCTCTACCCCAAAGAACGATATTATAAGATAAGTGGGAGTATATCATACCATAGTATACGCTCAAGAGTCCATGCCGAGACAAACTCTCCTTTAGAGATAATAAAGCAAAGTTTGAGGAACTTACTCTTTTACAGATATGGTCAATCTGATTTTCCCACGAAAGTTGAGCATCTAAGGAAATACCCAAAAATTTTACAAATTTAGAGACAGTAAAGTCATTATTAAACTTATTTAAATTAGCTACACGAGGAGAGAAAAATACATATTCAGTTTTATTTTTGTTAAGAATTAGGCGATTTTTTAAACACCAGCTCGTAAATTGACTTTTGACACTCTCAACATTTTCAATGAGTTCCCCATGACTCGATGCTGATACCACCACTGATGTGTCATCGGCATACATGGTAACTTTGCCATTTAAATAGTTAGGAAGATCCTTTATGTAGAGTGAGAACAGAAGTGGTCCCAGTACTGAGCCCTGAGGAACCCCTAAGTTACTGTTAAATTGTTCAGTATTTTTATTATTTAACTTGACACAGAATTTACGATTATTTAAGTATGATTTAATCCAATGAGAAAATTTACCTCGGAATCCCATCTCATACATTTTATCTACCAAAAAGTCAGGATTTACGATTTCAAATGCGCGACTTAGGTCAAAAAATAGTCCCATGACCAATCTTCCCTTATCCAGGTCTTCATAAATATGTTGCATTAATGGACATGCTGGTGATTCGGTGGAATAATTTTTCCGGAATCCATGCTGCGAGTTTGTTATAACGTTATTTTGATTAAGGAATGAAATAATTCTATTGCAAATTGCTTTTTCTATTACTTTTGAAAAAGACTTTAGTATAGATATTGGTCTATAATTATCCTTGCACAATGGATCTCCCTTTTTAAAAATTGGAGTTAGTGATGCTACTTTTAAGGTTATTTTACTCTTTCATTACTAAGTTACGACTAAAGTGGGGAACAATTATTGAGTTCCAAAAAGGTAGTAAATATGTCACTAGCTATAAACCCTGCTACTATTTGGAACGTAGCTGCTACGTTAGTAACGTAACGTTACTAGAACGATTCAATATCGTTGCTAGAGCGTTATAATTACTTTTATTTATTTGTTTTTACTTCTATACTAACTCTTTGTCAAACATATACTAGATTATACTATCCCTCTTTTTTTAAATGGTCCACTGCGGAGTTGGCTTTTCAATGTCGTCGTATATTAAATATGTACTGGTAGTTTATAACTTCTAGAATAACAATATAATATTTAATTAGGCAGGTACATTTATAAACCCTTTAAATTTTACTGTTGAACTTATGAATTTAGTTTTTGTAAAATAAATGCGCTTCATCAATATTTAAGTATAAACAAATTATTTATTTAATAACGTTTATAAATAAAAAAATCTTAATATTTATTATTAATTTTTTATTTAATTATTAATACCGTCTATTACCAACAAAATTACTATTTATTAAAAAGTAAACAACCATTTACAAACAATTAAAATAATTTATTATTTACATTACCACGTGGTACTGTACAGTAAAAAATGGCCGATAAGAAGCATTTTTCTTTGAAGTAGTTTTCGCTACTAAAGTTTTTTTCCATCTTAATTTACTTTACGGTAGTTTTGGTTAGTACCATAAACGTTCCAAATATTAAAATAATAACTTTTAAGTTATTAACTTTGCAGTTTTTAACTCATGTTCCAGTTTCGAGATTTTAACTTGCAAAGGGACTACAAAATAAAAATAATTATAATGTAACCTTTAGGTAGCAACCGAAAGTAACTGCTACAAATTAAATTTACTTGAAAGTTTTTTTTACTTATAACACCTTTTTTAAAGTTGCAAAGTCTTCTTGGGGGCAACCAAGTTTTACTTAAATGTTTATTACTTTATAGTAACCATTTAAGGAAAGAATGAAGTTTCTGTTACAAAATATTGTTTATTAAAAGTTAGAATTACTTTTAAGTAGAAATTAAAGTAGCTTTTTAGTATACTTAACTAATTTAAAGTTATCACCACTTTGGTAATGGTTTT